ACGGCACGGCGAAGGCCGTTAACATCACGGCGTCCCTTTCCAGGGCCGAGCAGGATGTCCCCGATGTGCCGAAGGTACCGTGCGTCTCCCTCCCGTTTCCCGGAAGCCTCGGTCACACGGGCCGGGCACGCTGGGCCACAGGAGGCCCACCGTCCAGCGGGTCCTGAGGTGCCCAAGGGACTCCGTCCCCTCACTCCTGTTCACTCCTGAGACACATACAATACATCGCGACAGAACCATCTGTGCACGGGCTACACACGTGCAAATGTATTGTGAGCAGTGCAAGCGTAGTCTATATTTCATCTTCTTTATTTGCTCTGTTTCGAGATTCTTTTGGACCCTGCTCTGAGCTCCGAGTTTCAAGGCAGAGGCAGGACAACCTAGTATCACTGTAATGCTGCCAAGTGTCATGTGGGCAGGTCACCTCCATTCATTCTGAGGGCCTTGGTTTCCACACTCATTAGTTATGAGACACCACACAGGCCACCAGCAGCACGAGATCGTCCCAGACGACCTTGGCGAAAGGGTCCATCAGCGGGCGCCTGGCGAGTTCCAGCCGCCCCATCCCGGTGGGCAGGAAGGACCTGCTCCATCCGTCAGGGAGCAGCATCCCGGGGCAGCTTCGACCCGTGACGCCTGTGCAAACACCAGAGCTCAGAGGGAGAGGGACAAGCGGCCCACTGTGACCTCACTGGCTGCCAGGACTCTGTGACTCGGCAGACCACATAGACGGCAGGTGATGGACAGAGAGAACAGACAGACAGACAAGCCACTCTACCTCCACCTGAAGTCCCGTCCAAGAGGTCGGAATCCGAAAATCCACCTGGGGAGGAAAAACAACAGTGTCACCTGCCACGTCAGAGCCGTAGGGCCAGTCTCGATGTCTTGGAGGAAAAGAAAACAGCCTTAGACCCCGTGAAACCTTCCAAATATGGCACTGCACCGGAATCCCCTTTCTACCCTAAAACTCCTCAAATGGGTCTCGCCCGGAACCCGGCTACGGCCCCCGAAAAAGTGGACGCCGAAAGAAACGAGAAGGGGGCACCCGTCGTGCGCATGGACGTAAATATAACCGTCCCAAACGGCTCTATCGAGGAGCAGTCGATGGCACTGATGACCGTCACTGTCCAGCGTCCCGTAGGGAGCGCTGTGTTCTGACCGCCCCTCGACTCGGGACCCAGCCCCATGACCAGGTGACTCACTGAGGGCACCAAGACGTTAGCCAGACGGGACACACCTGGATGGCTGAAATCTGAGTCGGGGGAGGGGGGCGGGGGACAGTTATTTTTTTCTGACACACACTAAAAAGTTTTTTTTTTTAACCTTCAGAAATGCAATTTGGGAAACTGCATTATTGACGAACTGCTAACCGAGTCCAATTTTCTTTTTTTTTAAATTAAAAAAAAAATTTTTTAATTTTTCGATTACTTTGATATTCGATATTATTTTATACTAGTTGCGGGCACATAGCATCGTGGCGAGACATCTGAATAATTAGCAGCGGTCGCCGTGATAAATCGAGCGCCCACCTGGCGGCACAGCTAGTTATTACGATGCTATAGACTCCGTTGCGCTTTACGTCCGCGTGACCGTTTTGTAACTGCCGATCTGCCCTTCTTAATCCCGTCCCCGCTTCTAGGACCCATCAGTTTGTCCTCTGTGTCTATGAGTCTGTTTCTCTCGTACTTGTGTATTTTTTTCTTGAGATTCCAGCTATAAGTGAGATCATACGGGATTTGTCTTTCTCTGTCTGACTTCTCTCAGTCAGCACGATCCCGTGCGGGTCCACCCATGTTGTCGCAAATGGCGACATTTCATCCTTTTTCATGGCCGAGTAATATTCCATGGCGTCCACGAACCACCTCTTCTCTCTTCGTCCCTCTATTGATGGACTTTAAAACAAAGGCTCTAACAAGACACAACCCGGGGATCGCTTTCCAGGTATTTATCTGAACAAACCCAAGACACAGGCTCCTCCTCCACGTTCGAGGCAGCATTGTTGACAGAAACCGAGATTTTTAAAGCAGCCTCTGCTGGGCTCGGCCCTCCTGCCCCATAAGGACGCATTCACACGGGCAGGTGGTAGGGCGTGAAGGACACAGGAGGAAGAACACTGTCATGCCAGCTGCGGTCACCCAGACAAGTGAACCGCAAACACAGGAGAGCCAAGCCCAGGGCAGCCCGGCCTAGCCCAGGCTCCTTATACATCATAGGCTTTAAAATTTTAAGCCTCCCGATGTGGGGATGGCTGTCTGGATGTGTTAGCTGACGATGTCTCGCTGACACACATCGAATTTAATCCACCTGTTTTACAGAACTTATGATGACTAACCAGAGTTTAATTCCAGAAATGCAAACGGACACTTTACGTGTCGACGCCCTTCAACATAAGTCATGATATTCATGGGTTGAAAACAAGGGCAAAAAAAAAATCTACTTGGATGACCACGCGCATCTAATAAAATTTAATATGTATGCCCGTTTCAGAAAACTAAGTGAACTAGACTAGAACGATATTTCCTGAAATGAATTTCTTTTTCTTTAAAAAAAAAAAAAAAAAGAAAAGAAAAAAACACACAACTTTTTTCGTATAAAGTCGAGCATGACTTGTCTCCTATTTTAAAGTTGTCTTGGGTTTTGTAGCCAAGGCAAAATGACATAAATACAAGTAACTTGCACAGAAAATAATATAAATGTAAGAAAGGGGAATGTTTAAAAAAAAATCCTTTGCAAATAATATGACAGTCCTCTCAGAACAGCTAAGACATAAAGAGAAACTATTAAAAGAAATAAAGGGTCATCATTAAGTGGCTCATTCAGAAATCTCGACAAAAGTCATTTCTATAGTATAGAAATAAACAGGAAAATAATGGACACAAAAACGTACTTACAGAAGCAAGTAAAAACGGGGAGAAACAATTTAGAAACACATTTAGAGAAATAATGAGAAAGAAGCCCATCAAATTGAACCTCAGGAAAAAGCTGCATTTTACGATTGTGTCTGCAGTCTGTACGTCCACTTACAGTGCTGAATGGTCCGACTGAAAACAAAACAGACCTTTTATTTTCCCCAAGGGAGAAGAGGAACAATGACAAAATGATTCTGAAGTTAAAAGGAAAAAACAAACAGTCACAAAGGAACAGGAAGAAACACGCGAGCATAAAAGACGCCACGAAGAAAACAGTTTACCTTGCTCTACCAGTGAAAAAATCCTGTCGAAAAATACTCAAAGGTGAAAATAAGTAGCAAAAACTATCTTCACGATCAATGACTGAACATAATTAATATCTGTAAATAAACGCGGTAAGATTATAAATCAGTAAGGAGACTAGATATCCAGAAATATAAGAAATAAAAAAGGACAGCAATAACCGATATCAAAAAAAAAAAACAAACAAAAACCTGTATCTTGCCAACTGACATATTGAATATTTTTTTAAAAATTTCGGAAATAAAGACACGAAACAAGGACAAGAGAAGTATGAGGCTTTTGACAACCTATCTGACAGGTGTTTTCTGCGCAGAAGGCACTAAAGAAATGGATGCTCGACACACAGCTGGCAGCGGCGTACATTGGCAGAATTCTGAGGGCGATTTAAAAAAAAAAAACACTGTCAAAAGCTGTAGGTGTCGGTCACGCACCTCGACCTCAACGGGTTGACTTCTAGAATCTCTTTGAAGGAATTGACGACAAAAAAGGAAAATGCGTGAAGGTGCCTTAATGACATTCATCATTCAACAATATCTGAAGGAACGTGACGTTCTCGAAATCAGAGATTCGTTAGGAGGGCATGTAATTGTCTTTAAAAATTGTATGGTCAAAGCTTAAATGACACGAAGAAGTGTTTATGGAATATTAACAACAAGCAAAAAATAGCGTTAGCACACAGTATGAGCAAAAGATTGCCATTTTCGCTTAAAATTACTTTTGCTCAAATTGACATGAAATGCTGGAGAGTGACGGCGAAAACGTCAACGGCACTAGAAGGTGGACAATATTTGTATTTTTCTGTGTTGAAAATTAAACTAATGTGTAAATAAGGAAAACACTGAAAATCTACACTTTCGACGGGCATTCAATTCACAAAACCGATGCCACGCCGTGACCGAGCCTACGGGGATGTGTCGGAAGCGGCAAAACGGTTTCGAAACAAGCCGATTCTCTCGTCCACGTCGATTCTATGTCCTTAATCACGGGCATTCGACCTTTCAGAGAGCTCGCCGAACCCTGGACGCGACATCGGGCTCCGCTGGGTGAAAATCGCACGCGAGGCAAAAGCCTCGTTTCGGAGCAGGTCGTGCACGACAGCGGAGTCGGCAAAACGCTGCACGAAGGGACCGAACACGACGCACGCCAGTTCGAGCTTCTCCCTCTGTCCCCTGACGTGGACCTCGCTGCTCTTTCCGGAAGAAATAACGACGCGGCGCAGACCCGCAGAGCCGCCCCCGGGTCTTACCGGCAGATCCGGGCTGCTCGGGCTTCGGCTGGGGCTGCGGATTCGGTTTCGGGTTGGGTTTCGGGTTGGGTTGAGGCCGGGGCGTCTGCGGCACATCTGTTTGCAAAAGGTCAGAGTGATGTCGGGCACTTCGCAGTCAGGAAAGCGAAGCGTCCGGGAGGAGGGCGCACTGGACGGTTCGATGGCGGAGCGGGGGAGGGGGCGGCCCCGACACCCCGCCGAGCACCCGCGCGGAGACCCCGCCACCCCGCAGCCGCAGCGCTCAGCCAGCCGCGTGTGCCCCGGGCAGAAACCGAACAGGTGCGCCTGGCACCACGAGCCCCAGCGCACGGGGACACAGCGGGCTTCTCGGCCCGATCTGTCCCGAGAATTTCCACGCGGGGTCCCTGTGGACTGAGCCGCTGCAGCCAGCCCTGGCGAGGACCCTCCTGTTTCCTCCTAACCCCCCGAAAGGCTGCGTTTTCAAGATAAAAGCAAGCACGCGGAGGAGAAGCACAGACTCAACAGCACGGCCATTTCCGAGCTTCTCCTGGTAGACGCCGGCTCCCCCGATCACTCCAAAGGGATGAGGCTCTTTGAAATGATACTCATTGGGCGAGAGGAAGCAAGGCGGCCACGCGGGACGTGGAGGACAGGTACTCACGGTGTCCGCCCCCGCCCAGGGCATCCTGTAAGTCGAAGTCGTCATCTAAAAGAGAGAAACCGGTGGTCAATCCCCAAGTTCGGGGCGACACATGCAAGGAAGGGGGCCCTAAACAGGTTCAGGAAACGCTGTGGCCGTGAAATCGGAAACGCTTTCTGCCGGCGGGCCAGCCAGGATCTCGGCAGAGAGGCTGCACTGCGCACCGCGCTCACGTCACCAGGGTCTCAGACGAAGACAAACGTCATCTACGAAGAAGTCGAACGCGCCACACGGCCCGTCCTGGAATTCCAGCCCCGCCTGCGAACGTGCTGTCCTCCTCCTCTGCCAGGCCACCATCTTTCCCCACGAATGGAACCACGGCTCCGGCCAGCGAGACCGCCACCAGGGAGGCCCCTCGTGAGCCGATACGGGGGGGAAGGGCACCTCGAAAGCGGTTCTACTGAGCCAGGCGGGTTTGCCGAATCGACCCGAAGACTCCCGAGAGTTTCCAAGGCCGCCTCCTTCGTTTTAAGAACGATTTTCAAATTCCAGCTACGTCTAGAGACGCTCGTGTGTCCCCTGGACACAGCGAATCACGGGCGGGAGGCGTGACGGCCGCTGGAAGCCGACCGCGCGGCCCGAATTCTGTGACCGGACAGTTATTTATCCGACGTCGTCCGCGAACCCGCTCAGCTCGGGGACGCGGACCTCGGTGAGGACTTGCGATCCCTTCGCGCAGGGAGGTGACCTTCTACGGGGCAGCCCCAGAGTTAAGTGACCTATTATGACTGGGGGACAAAAAAAACGGTCACAAGCTGTCCTTAACTTTGGGCATCAATTTCTGAGCGAACCACCAACATCGGACCGTTCGTTCCCTTCGGCAATTTCGTTCTCTCTCCCGAGTTTCTGCGTTTTCTTAGGAAGGACCGGTGACAATCAACGCAAGCCCGGTCCTGCGGGCTGAAATCTGAGTTGGCTCATGGGTCACGGGGCAGCTCGGCCCCTAAAATTATTTCCTCCCAAGAAATGATTATCCCAAAACAGGGTCCGACACTCAGAGGAAAGACCTGGGCAAATCCTGTCAAAACGCCCCGGAAGCACCTCGTGGAGGGGTCAGCGTCCGTTCTTACAGTCCCGACTGCACGGGACAGCTTCATGGTCACAGGGCGAGTCGCACGTGAAGCAGACTACGCCCAGAAGCCCCGGAGGACGCGTCCGCCCGCTCGGCCACGCCTCCCCCGGCTCTCGGGGACCGCGGGGCACACGCCGAGCATCTCCGTGCTACGTCTGCACAGGGAGCACATTACCCGCGTTCGGTCTCTTCGGGGGTGGCACGGTCGGTTTCTTGTCAATGTCTACAGGGAAAAGAGATCAGTCATTAAAACGCGCGGCTCAGAAACAGTGAGGTCTCAAGGATGTCCCATTAAAAAAAAAATCGTGCAGGCGTATTTCAAGCATCGTTTTTCCTACACCGAGGCCACCGGTGGACGGATGACTCGTGAGCCCACTGTGACCCACGGACGTCAGCAGGCACGTAGGTAGGCTGACGTCCGCTGCGATTTTTGTGGGGAGCGGGAGCCCCCTGCCAGCTCCGGCGTTGACTGGGGCTGTGAGTGGGGCCCGCAGGACGGGAGGTCAGCGCTCACACAGGGGGGACGACCCGGAGGGACTTGGCACCCCCGCTTGAACTGCCGCTCACGTGTCTTGCGTGGAACACACTCCCGCCTCCCCAGGGCCCCCTACCCAGGCCGGCCCCCCCGGGAACCAAGCACGAACACACTGAGGTCAAGAGACCCAAATGCGGCCTCCAGCCCCTCCTCGTCTGACTGGCCCAAAAGCACCCCAACACCACCAGTAAGGTGATGGGGTCTGTGCCGGCCCGTGGTTTTGACTCCAGGGTGTCCGACCACGCCCCCAATTTCACGTCCACCCCGAACCTCGCAATGCGACTTTGTTTAGAAACAGAGTCTTTGCAGGTGGCATTGGTGAAGCGGACGTTATTCTAGAGGTCACAGTGGACCCGCATGGATGGCTCTTTATACGTCCAGGGCCCCAAGAAGAAGGACAATGTCTGGACACAGAGGCACAGGCCAAGCGATGCCAGCGCTGGCTGTCTCCCAGGTCAGTGTGCCCAGCAGGACGCCGTTCCCCAGGCCCCGCCCACTGTGCACGCAGTGTGTGGCCGTCACAGGGCTCACGCGTTATTCCGGGGAACCCCGTGAGGCCACCTCGATTCCCCTCGCCTGATGTGACTCTGTGTACGACAGCACAGCACGCTCAAGCGTGTCGACTGCATGGCAGGAAAATATTCACGGTCCTTTCTTTAAAACATGTCGTTAACGGTACTCACCGCCAAGGGCATCCGATAAATCGAAGTCATCTGCGGAGAAAGACAGTCCCGTTAGAAATAAGGGGAATCGAAGTGAACTTGGAAATCAAGAAAACAATTTAAAAAAAGGTGGGGAGATGAGCTTCGCTAGGTTTTCTCATGTTTGTCGGGGACGAGAGGGACTTAGCAGCGGGGCGGAGGGCCCGGGGGACGGTCAACCGCGGCCGCAGGTCCCGCCCTGATCCCAGCGGTGCCGGCCCCGCTCACGGACGGAGTCGCCCGGGAAACGGGGCGGAAGGACCGCGCGCACACGCGTGTTCGTCTGTGCGCCCCGCAGCTCCGTGTCGGGGGCCTGGCCGCCCCGCATCCTCTCTCTGCCGCCCGCACCCCGCCTTCGTCACAGCCACCCACCCGGATCCGCCGGCCCCGAAACGCTGCCCCGACCCGGCCCGATCTGCCCTCCCGGGGCCCAGTTCCAGAACCGAGACGCCCGGTTCGCCTCCGCGTCCCCACGCGGCCCTGGCACAGACCCAGGAACGCCAGACCCGAGCGGAGTGCGGTGCGGTCAGACGCTCGACACCCGCCTCCCAGCTGCTTCTGTCCACTGTTCAGTCCCTCCTTCACGACCACGGTGAGTGTCACCGGCCAGACCCCAAACCAACCCCAGAGCCCAGCGCTCCCCAGACCCGAAGGCCAGCCAAGGGCGTCCAGGCACGTCCGAGAGGGGACAAGGAAAGGAAGAAGGTGCCCTGCCCTGCCCTGCCCTGCCCTGCCGTGGGACAGTTTCCGTCCACTCGCCCCACAGCAGAAGCTTGGTTTGCAGATGACTGGGGGACCCACAGAGCACGCGAGACCCCGCACCTTTCCGCGGGGTAATGTCACCTGCCACTGCATCTCTGAGGGCTCCCCCTGCGCCTCGCTGACCCCTGGACACCAAGCCCCACCCTCACCACCTGCTGCTGAGGTGACAGGAAAAGCCAGGTGACTTCCACCTGGGCATGCGCCACGGAAACTCGGAGAGGCAGGTGCCAGTGCCGCGTTCCACGACGGGCGGACGGCCTCGGCCCCATCACTCACAGGCGCCTCATCGCTTCCCGTCCTGCTGACACCTGGGGCCGGTTTTCCCAGGTGCGCACACACCTGTGCACAAGCCATGCGCACACACTGTGTCGTCGGCGGAGACCCCACGGTTCGGCAGCTTGCAGATCGGCTCGGGCGGGTTCTGAGCCCTCCCGATCCGTTACTAATCTGCAAATCTCATCCGCTCATCCACGGCCACGGGCCCACTCATTCCAGCTGGGACTATGTGGGGTCACAGGACACAGGCAGGGGCCTCCTGGCAGAAACCCCCCTCTACCCAAGCCTCCCAAGACTGCCAGCTGGAGTGGGGGACGCGGAGGGCGGCCAAGGGGACAATATGCAGGCGTCAGCATCTCTGTAGCCTGGGAGCAGCCCGTCCCTCGGCGGAAGCCCGCACGGCCTGTGGCTGCCAGCTGGCCACTCAAAGCCGCAGATGTTATCGGGGACACAGAGTGACTCACACAGGCGAGGCCGCCGCCCTGCCCAGCAGGGCGTGAGTCACCGGCCAGCTCACTCCCTTCTGATGCCAATGATCTTCGCTTTTCCACTGGGGCCAGTCCCCCTGAAACACAGATGGGGCTAGCGGCATGCGGCCCCGAGAACCGCGCCCTGGATTCTAGCTGCTCAGGGTGTGTGCGGCCCCGTATGTGACACAGCCTCCTGCACCGGACACACCGCTTGTGACAGCCTCCTGAACCGGGACAAACGCCTGTCACACAGCCTCCCCAACCCAACACACCGCCTGTGACACAGCCTCCCCAACCGGACACACCACCTGTCACACAGCCTCCCAAACCCAACACACCGCCTGTGACACAGCCTCCCCAACCGGACACACCACCTGTCACACAGCCTCCCAAACCCAACACACCGCCTGTGACACAGCCTCTTGAACCAGACACACGCACCACAGACGGTCTCTTAGATTCTGCCCAGAAGGCACACTGCTTAGGCACAGCATTTAAGACAGAAATATGTATAGTCATGAGTTCAAAAAATTATAAAGTACTGGATTGAGACATGCAACTTGCATAAGTAAATACAACTAAATAGAGGTGATAAAAATAAATATAGGATAGTAATCAGACAGTAGCATTTGTAATGATTGTAAAACTTATAAATTATATAATTTATATGTGGAGCATGTATAGATACGTAAGTATAAGTAAACTATACATCATAGAAATAAAAGCAGCATAGAAATAAAAGAGAAGCACTCGTCATGATTGTAAAAATTATAAATTACATAACGTACGTGGAGCTTCTGTAAATAAATATAAATGAAATATAGATTAAGAAGGAAAAATAGGATCGAAATCAAACAAATATATAATAAGTTGTATAAATTATGAGTACGTATAATTTATACATGGAATGTATAATTTGTACAAATTATACAAATACATAAAATTATATAATTTGTATAAATTATAAATTTATACAAAAATAGGATCGAAATAAAACAAATATATAATAAGTTGTATAAATTATGAGTACGTATAATTTATACATGGAATGTATAAATTATACAAATACATAAAATTAAAATAGAAATTACAAAAATGTAATTAGAATAGAAAAAATAGTCAAAATAATAAATTATACAAATTACAAATTACATTGCTTATACGTAGGCTGTATAAATTATGGAAATATATAAAACTAAAATATAAATAAAAACAGAATCGAAATGAAATGTGTGTAATCTATATAATAGTAAATTATAGAAATTACAAAATACGTAATTTATTTATACATGGAATTTATAAATTATGTAAATAGAAATAAAATACAAATGTTAGAGATGAAATATGAGTATTTATATTAAATTACAGAACTAACATAATGACTTATAATTATAAATTTTATGATTTACATATAGGATAAGTATAGCACTTATAACCTCTATAAGTAAATCCATAATTCGAAAAGAAGTGACTTATAGAGATAAAATTAGAATAGAAATAAATCACATCCTTATAATCATATATTACACAAGCTATAAATTCTGTAAACAAATACGTGTATCGATGAGATAGAAATAAGTCAGAGAAATAAAGGCAGGAGCGAACCCCTCGGACTTCCCGACCGTGCCGTGAATTACAAGAATCGCGCCATAATGACTCGAGGATCGCGAAAGGAGGCAGGGATGAGCTTTCCGGGGCCGTCTGTGTTTCTAGATCACACCGCTCGTCCGCACGACGCTGCACGGATGGTGGGGAGCAGCAGAGACCCCCACACCGCACCCCGGTCCCCCCGCGGCCAGTGGCAGACACCCGCACACCCGCCCTGCAACGCGCGGGACGGTCACGCCTGCTGTGTCATAAGCAGTCCGGCCCTGAGCCCCGGCGGCCTGCTGCCCAGTGCATTTGTCTATGTGCCCCGGTGGTCTTTCTGAGCCCCCCAAAAACATAAATTGCAGAACACCCCGCAGACTGACAAGGACAGGACTCAGTGGCCAGGTGCGCACTGCACATCCAGTGTCCACGGACCCCAGGCAAAGCTTTTCAGGAAAAAAAGCACCCGTCACATGGCCTGTCGCCGAAAACCTGGGGTCCAGGCAGGGAGGGGGCTTAAGTCAGGGTCCCCCAAAAACCTGGGGTCCAGGCGGGGCAGGGCCTTAAGTCAGGGTTCCCCGAAACACTAGGGTCCAGGCAGGGAGGGGGCTTAAGTCAGGGTCCCTCAAAAACCTGCGGTCCAGGCGGAGCAGGGGCTTAAGGCAGGGTCCCCCGACAACCTGGGGTCCAGGCGGGGCGTGGGCTTAAGTCAGGGACAACTGTAGTGCACAGCCCAGGACAGGGGACGGTGGAGTCCCAAATTCTCTGTCCAGGACAGAGGACAGGGGACGGTGGAGCCCCAAATTCTCCAGGCACAGAGGCACCGAGGGAAGGGCAGATGGCGTTCGTTTTGGTTTATTTTATTTTTAAACGAGCGAAACACCCCGAACTTTCCGCAGTGAGGAAGGCATGGCTTCCGAAACCCGCCGGTGTTTTCCAGGGACCCGTCATGTGACACTCGCCTGACAGAGCCTGACGGACACTGTGCTTTGGACAGCAGGCGCGTCCCCAATCCACAGACGCACGGATTCACGGCCGGAAGGAACGTTCCAGAGCAACAGAGTGCGGCCGGCGGCTGCGTGGGGTCCAGGCGCCGTGGACCTGGAGCCTGGCCCCGCTGGGAGCGCCCCGCGAGGCCACGAACGCGGAGCCGGCTCCCTTCAGGTTGGTCACTGCCCTGCGCCTTCACGGTGGCCCTAAATGCCCCGTCCCACCGTCCCAAACTTCACCAGTTCGTGGGCCTTTTGTGTCACAGGCAGTGGGCCCCAAACCTCTAGGGTGGAACGGATAGTTCTGTGTATTCACGACCGTCAATGTCCGTCACGCCCAGCAGTGACATTCCAAAGTCACCGAGAAAAGTGAAATTAGCAAACATTCCATCGTCACCGCTCAGGGAAATACAGGATCAGGGTCCTGCTTCCCAGGGCCACATATGTGTCAGCTAACCGAGCCCTAACCTGGTTCCACGGTGTTGTTTTTTAAAGACCGCGTACTGTGTAGGCACTGGGGTGCCTTCTCCCTGGACACAAGGCCACCCGCACGCACACGCCCGCACGAAGCTCAACCAACACTCGTATCTTCTCCGTGGGGCACAGGGCGGCCACCTGGTGCTTCGGGACCCTCGGCAGCCCCTCAGCACCACGCGTGGGGCCTTTTCAAACAGCAAAATCACAAGCGTAAAGCACAAAAATTCAGAAAACGTGGCACCTCGGAGAGACCTCAAGAAGGGGGCTAGTTTGTGGTCTGAGAGCTGAAAGGTGACTCCAGTTTCCGGTCGCTTTCCATGTGTGCGAACTTGGAGGGCAGCGATTCGAGTTACAAGTCAATGTGAGCAGGCGGGCGACTTGGCCAACGTGCAATCTGAATGCTGAGGGTGGACTGTGCTTGGGAACAAAGAACTTAATCAGAGCAGGG